TTATAGCTCTAGTGAAACAAGAAAAGTCAACTGTCAAAAAAATTGTATTAGGTGAAACACCTCCCTTCCCCCTTCAGCCAGCGACAAAATATGTTCCCTCCTGTTGGGAAATACCAAGCGATGATGCGCTCTGTGCAATAGATCCTTTGTTTGGTGATGATTCTTTCTTGCAGATAGTTCAATTGGTCATGTTCCATGTTTTCCATTCAAGTGCCTTTGTAAGCTTATTATTTGTCTTAGTCCGACAATGTATCGCGGCGTGCGTTTTGCTGTCACCGGAATAGACCATAGTGATTGGAAGGTGTTCAGACAAAGTCGGGAACACGCTGCTTAAAAGGCGCACGCCTAACTTACTGTAGTGCTCATGTCAGGCGAGTGTGACTGAAGATGGGCCACCGCTAAGGCAGCGTTCAGATCGACGCGATCGATGCAGTCCAAAGCATGCGCATCGATCGTCGAATCGCGCGACCGAGCGCTGCCGTCGCGAAGTCTGAATGCTGTCTGAGCGGTGGACTGTTGCGACGCCTGACTTGATCACATTGAAAGAATCTTCAGCTCATTCTCAACTCTATAGTTCATATAATAAACGATTAAGGATCTTTTAGCATACTGGATCTTGATTTACTTGAATTCGCTTTACTACTGTGCTATGGGATTCGTTGCAGAAACATAGGGGCCGACAGGAGATATTCTGTGATGGATGTTGTGCAAGGGAAATACGCTGACGAACGGTGAAAAAGCGGTTTTTTCGGTCGGTACTGATCTAGCCGTTGTAGCAGCGTGCTGATTAGTCACACAGCCCTCTTGGTCACAAGTTGCCCGAAGCGTACAAGCGATGGAGTCGCTCAAGTCGCGAATTATGTACACGCTCCCCAGCGGTGGCTCAGCCGCTTCTACGGAAGCGATCGCGTGTTGCGGCGACCGCGCTCCCACGCTAACCAATGGACTACTGTAATTATGAATTGGTTAGTTCCCATTGATGCGGCCTCGTTCTCTTCTTTTAGTTAGTAGTTACGACTTCGGTCTGCTCGATAGGGTGGGACAATCAAGAATGAATGATGAAACATCACAGCGCAAGTCGATAGGAACCGGTTGGAAACCGAATAGGGTGATGAGCCAGATTTCATATTTAGTACATCTTGTCCTAACCTTGAGCCTTAAACGGTCGTAGGTCACAGTTGAAAGGCCAAATTCTAGGAAAAGGAAGCTGAGTGAACGGAATTTGCTCAACTGTAATGGAACGGTCCATCGATTCTCATTGAACGCGTTGCTGTATTGATGCGGTCGCTGCCGTCGCCAAGTATGAACGCTACCATCGGAGTCTTGACCGGGATAAAAGGCAGGCAGAGGACAGGAACCAGTAAAAAAAATAAAAGTTAAACAGATTGGCTGCGTCAGCGGCTAGGCTCATACCCCTTGACAAGGCATTTATTCGAAAGAACGCCACAATTTCAAATAAAGCTTGTGTGAACTAAAAACAATATACAAAGAGTTCAGTCGCAATGGAAAGAGAACCTACTGTTCACTGCTTGCCCAGCGAGAGCGCTATCAGTGCGGCACAGTAACCTCTACCGTAATCCATAACCACCTCGTGCTTGATTTAGTGCCCAAGAGACATTCTTCTTGAACTGCCTCTTATGAAGGTGCATCAAAAGTGCTGATGGTGAGCGAAATCGGCAGCTAGCAGACGATGGGATAAAATAGCGGGTAGAACTCGTTTGTGACCGCGGAGGGAGGGATGGGAGGCGAGATATGAACGAGAACAAGCGCAATTCGACATTGAATCTGATTATAACGGTCATAATCGCATGATGAAGCTGTATAAAACTGGTTCGTTCGGATCAGATCAGATTCATCCCAAATTGCCAAGAGTCATCATGCAATTAGGAACAACCATACCTAGACGGGCAGAATACGCAGAATGCACTACTAGGTATTTCGACGACGTTGATCACAAAAGAACAATAGACTAGTAGAGAAGCGAGTAGATGACTGAATGATGCGATGGTCACCGTTTTGGCACAAAAGACGAACAATGAACCCGAAAGGGCGTATCGCCACGCAGCTTTGTTGAATGCATCGTGGCAGCAACGCAGTCGATTGCAAGTTGTGCGAGACGACGGGGTGGTGAAGTGTAATGAGTGGCGACGAACGGACGGATGGACCGACGGACGGATGGACGTGAGCGACAAAGGGGCGTGAATGGCAGTGGTCGGGAAGGACGCTAGCGGTCGGGAAGGGCATTCAATCAGCCAGTCAGGTGCGGGGAAACCCTCGGCGTATTCATTTCCTACACACTGCCATCACTCGTGAGTGATCACGAGGCTGATACCCACTGTAAAAAAA